GTTAATATGACGGTAAACAAAATGAAACCAACCCAATTATTATGCACGAGAAAGTAGTTTAAAGGTTTTAACTTATTTGATCTATGTGACCATGACTACATGCACACATTGTATATGTAAATTTCATTCATTATAGTGAATACATGTTGCTCTTAAGTATCGCAGCATGCTGCTACCTAATCATTAGCATTGTTTGGCCCTTTGGTTATTCAGATGTTTACGTATAAATATTTTAACACATTTGACCCTGTAACCTTGAATATGGGCGAAGGTCATTTATTTGGAAAACAGAGCCCTTTATCTCATCATACTTAACCCTTGTGAACTAAGGCCTTTTAATAATAGGACATATTTATATTATTTTATATACTAATCTATACCAACCAATAGCATATGAATAACAAACAATACCGGCGAATTGGCATGGGCGAGGATGAAACGGCACAACAATTTTGTACAGTCAATTTCGTTCGCATGTTTTTTTCAAAAACCTACACAAGTTTGTTCCCGGATTTCCAGCCAACAATGCCAGTAACGGCATGGAAACCACTGCTTTACGCTGACATCACGAATATCAACGTTTAGGTTAACGTTTCACATTATACCGGTCTGATTCATAGCAAGTATCTGTTATTAGATTACAAAACCTAAAAGCAAGATTACTAAAACTGTTGATTTGGATTAAATTAAATTTAGCGCTTGCAAATCAAATTCCAATTTAAACAAAACGCGCTAATGTGGCATACAGGGCACAGTGGGAAGAAAAATGGGACACATCAACTCGGCAACATGTTTTTTTTCGTATTTTGTTCCACGGAGGTATCGTAAGGTTCTGTAATAGCTGCACCTTAATAATTCCGTCGTAACCCTCTATACAGCAATATAGACCAATTCCGGAATCAATTTGTTAGTTCGACGCTAGTGACATGGAATTGCGTAAAATCCAGCGATTCCACCATCGAGTAGAACTCGTACAAGAGTTTAACAGCTGTTTTGTCATATATAAATCTGATGAGATGTCATAAAATCGGTTCTCTTGATGAAAGAATTGCTCTAGATCGTGATTTATTATATTGATTTACAAGATACAAGCGTCCAATTAGCCATTTTACTACATTTCCGGGGCGTCCTCCAGAGGGACTTCTATATCTACTGACATACAAAATGTAATTGCGCGGTTGTCCTCGTTACCCGATTTCGACCTAACGTATATAGGTTTCGGATTGTGACCTACATACTTACATACGATCGGTACTGCATTTGAGGCATATAGCGGCAGGACCAGCTAAGTACCCTTTAAACTTTAAGACGAGCATCAAGAGGTTTGGAAGCAGATGGCAACCACCTACTTTAGTGGACTCGAGAGCCACTGTTCCAGTCAGGAAAAATGTACATACAAGTGCAGACATCGCTTCAAGATTAAGCAAAATAAATAGGTTAATAGTTGTCCTGACGACATTTTTTCTGTCTTAACCGAGATTTCGGGGTAAACAATTTCATTGGAATCTCTGGACAGGATTGAAACTACAGAAATATTGAGTAATGTCTCCGTTATCCCGTAATAGCATTGTGTATCTCTAGACGTACGTCGCAATTTGTTATTGTAGTCTGCAGCTTGAATAGCGACATTACTTGTGCTTGTAATGACAACCAGAACGTTTACACTTACAATGTACCAAATGCGGGAACCTTTCTTTAAACTAGACGATGTGACCCGCCGTGCAGGTCTTTATGCATTTCAAATCTGAAACAGTTGTGTAGTGCAGATGAATTACTTTACTTTTAAATTACACGCATAATTTCGCATAAATTACATTTTTTATTTTCGATGCTTTACAAAATTATGTGTATCAAATCAGGAACATGAAAGAATTATGACCATTGTGACATATAAAATAAGCTTACGGTCTTCATTAGATACACGTATACCTATTTTTTAGTGAATTATTTGCCAACAGGGAAAATGGATATCTTCTACAGATAAGTTAATCAGTGTATTTTTTCGGATGTTTGTCAAAGGGATTGTAAACTCACCAAGGGAGTGATTATCAACTTAAGAGTTACTTCCCCCTCTATCACCTTTAACAGCATTCAGGCCTCCTAACCACGCGCCATATTTTTTAGCTCACCTGGTCCGAAGGACCATGGGGAGCTTGCCGTATCGCCGCGTCCGTCGTCCGTCCGTCTGTCAACTTTTCCTTTAAAACGCTAATAGCCCTGAACAACGTGAAGGATTGTAACTAAATTTGGTCTGGAGAATCCTAGGCCAAAGGGGACTATGTTGGGTGTGGCCCCTCTGGGTGCAGAGGTTCTTGGCCAAACGTGACAATTTGAGGTTTAAATCTTTAAAATCCTTCTTCTTTTGGTACCATTGGACGGATTTTATCCAAATTTGGCCTGGAGATTCTTTGGGGAAAATGGGACTATATTTTGTATAAGCGGAAGGAAAGGTCCCTCTGGTTGTGGAGGGGTAGGGCTAAATATGGGAATTTGAGGTTTAAAGCTTTAAAATTCTTCGTTTACAATTGGAGGGATTTTATAAAAATTTGGCCCAGAGCATCTTTGGGCAAATCGGCCTCGATATCCAGGGGTTAAGCTCATCTTAGCTCTCTGCACCCCTGGAATATGTCATAGCAAAATCGAAGGCTCAATAAAGACTAGTTTGATCCTTTGATATACATCAAAAGAGTCTCGCGGTCACGAAACGGTAAAAATTGACAGGCTTTGAAGTCGTGCGTCTCTCCTTTGTAATCTCCAAAGGACATGTATCAGCCTAGCGATTGATTCGGGTTTTTTTACCTGAGACCAATCAAACAGCTATCTTCGTGCCTTCAATTTTGCTATGACATATTCCAGGAGTGAAGAGAGCGAAAGTGAGCGTATCGAGTATGTGGGGAAATGGGGCTAAATTTTGTATAGAGTGTGACCCCTCTGGGTGCAGAAAAACGGTGCCCAAATAGGGGAATTTGAGGCAATTATTTAAAATCCTTCTTTTTATGTACCATTGGAGGGATTTTAATCAAATTTAGTCCAGAGCATCCTTGGGCAAGAGGGGCTACATATTATGTAAACGGAGAGTGTGGCTCCTCTGGGTTAGAGGGTTGAGGCCCAATAGGGGCAACATAGTATTAATGATTAAAATCTTCTCCTTTAGTATAATTTGAGGGATTTTAAACAATTTTTGTGAGGAGCATCCTTTGGCAAAAGGGATTAAATTTTGTATAAACAGAGTTGATTAATTGAGATTAATGTTTAAATTCCACCAAGCAAATATTTGGAAATAGTTGCAGTATTAAATGATCCATGGTTGCTTTGTTATCCAGGTGAGGGATACAGGCCCTCTGGGACTCTTTGTTTCAATTGTTCATCATGTGGCAGAGGTTTGCTGTGAGGGCATGTAGTCCAGGACGTACAATATTTATCGGCAATAGCACGTTGTTATAACGATTGGAGAAAATAACATTTATCTTTGACGTCAACGAAGTGTTTATTGCCATACCCCGCATTAAATCAATCCGTGAATGCTCATGATCATAATACAATAAATTTTGGGTTGGGAATACCCTGAAACGATATTTTTCAACATAAACAACACTGCTTTTCCCCAAATATCTTTTTGTTCGTTTCTAAACGATTCCTTGCAATGTGAAACAAAGACAGCATGAGCTATCAAATTTTGAAATTTGTTATCGACCCTGAACTTTGAACAAAAAAAACCCAAAGCAACATCTGATTTCCTCCTGTTTTTTTGTAATTGCCGTGTGCTAATAGCCATGACAATAATTCAGCGAAATCATGCTATGGCTATTTATGTAATAAAAAAAATATATATTAATCGCTAAAAAATAAAAGGATTTCTATGAGGCGGCGCAAAACATGCCGACATGCAGGAGCATCCAAAGTCACACCGAGATTTTGTTTGTTATTAAAGGACATGCCAGAGTTTGGAGGATGAGGAAAACCGAAGGACCAAGATAAAAACCAACGACCTGCGGCCAATACCGAGCGAGCTAGCCAGCCACTGGTCAAATATCATCACACTAGGCAGTTCATTTCTTAAGATGAAGTCTTTGGAATGCTTTAACAGATTTAACCTCGCGACCTTGAATACTGGCCAACATTATTTTGTTTTGAAAACTTTGTATCAATATGTACCAGCAATGTACCGACAAAATAGCATTGCTCTGAGGAATTTTGTTCTTTAGAGGAAGTTGTTTTAATAGACTTTTCCAAATAAATATGAAGAGTACATGACTTCTAAATATAACTTTAAATTCATGATCCTGATAAGTGCTTACATGCTTCACCGGGTATATTTGGTAAGAGGATCAAATGAATCGTTTGTGTTGCTTAGCGTCCTTTTTCCCGTATGCATGGTTTCGAAACACCGAGTCATCACGTTTGTTATTGCCAGTGTCCTTATCTAATTTGAGAAAGTCAACAAAGGCAAGTAAATTACTGATCCATGACATTTTGATATAAATATCCTTGATGTCTATAAATACTGTACCAAATATACAAATATACAACACACCTTGCATAAAAATATAACATGGATTCGATAGATTTATTGATTACATTATAGAAATTATATATATATATAAATTGTACAATATATAAGTTGTATAGACAATATATTAAAGATATTACATATGTATAAATATGCAAGACCACACACTTGTGTTTTTCTAACGAATCAGAAGGCACTCATGTACTGTGCGACGTATATATTCGTCCGCGCAATAAAATTCGTGCTTTCTGATACATTAGAAAAACACAAGTGTGCGGTCTTGCTTTTATCGCATACCTTCCGTATTTGGAAGAGATCAATACAAAGATTTTATAAACTTTGATATTTTTTGAAAATACCGGGAACTTTTCAGTTAGCCATGACAAGGGTATTCCCATAAAAAATAGTTCCGGCTAGTAGGTAAATACAACATCCCGTATTGCACATGTGCAATACAGAACGTTGTATTTTATGGTCTGAAAATTGCTTGTATTACTATAACAAGATTCAACAGGTATGTGATAAATATGTATAGTTATTTTCAGCGCAAAAAAGAAATCATTTAATTCTTTGGGTATTTGCTATTCCATGTCCGATATTGGACGTATAGAGTGGCTTTTCCTTTCTACCTTAAAAACAGAAATATATCTATTTGATATAAAATACACCTACATCATTGACCGGCCCCGTGAGCAGGACTTCTTTTGTTAATCATCTTTGCACGATTAGCTTAAATAGTATACATACTACGTATACTTCCTCCCAGATCATATACAAAATATGAAAATAACCACTTTGTATGACTTCTAGTGAACTTAAAAACCTCTGTTAATAAAAAGTACATACACTGTTAAATAGCACTGTTCAGTAGTACGTATAGTTAGATTCCGGTAACCTGGTCCGGATGCTACTGAACCGTGTAGGGGCGGTTCCCGACTTGTCCTCCCAGTAGTCGGATCTCCTGTCGTAACCCTTACTATATCTCCTTCTGTTGTTGTTTATACACAGGACACAACCCAGGATTCCCAGGACAAGGATGGTCAGCAAGATCAGCCACACAATAAACCCTATGACAGTATTGCCGCTGACCAGTCCATTACTGTATTGACATTCATTTACCCTCAGGGACTCCGCTACAAGTAGAGTGGGCAAATGAATTGCACAGATTTACAGTTACATGTTATAAAGTTAATTGGGAAGAATTTTGTTTTCCTATATATTTCCTTCCCAAGAACCATTATGTATTTTCGGATACTACTGTCTTCAGAATATGATACCTGTATATTCTCAAATAATTTCTTATAACTATACGACATATTTCTAGTTTATAGGTGTTATCATGTATCCAACACAAAAAAATTTGAATTTACACCACTGGTCCCTGATTCAGACACATCTAATTCTACTTACCTTTTGAGCAGGCCAAAACGGCCGCGGTATCCGGGGAAGAGGGTACACACATACTACTTCCGGGGGTGTTTACACACATCTCATTGGAGATACAGCCTCCCAGTGTAGAGTTAGAACACTCATTTCGGTCTGAAAATAAATGGCAAAAGAAGGAAAGCAAAGATCATTTGAAACGTTAAAGACATTGATGAAATTAACCATTATATTAAACACTGAGAGCGGTTTCCCGACTGCCATTGAATTATTGCCCGTGAAAAAATGACGAATTGTCAACCAGCTGAAGTAATACCTCCCACTGCAGCGGAGGAATAAAGAAATTAAAAATGGTGAAGTAATTTCATACCGACTTCTTTTTTCAGTTTCGAAATTAATACGCGTTCTCGCCTTGCAATTGTTCAAACATTGTTAGAAGAATCCTATAAAGGAATTCTCATCAAATTGTATTTCATTAATACACAGTCATCACCAAATCTACTGTTCAGTACCTTATTGTAATGGGAAATAAAAGCATTGCAATGCAGTTCAAATGTTAACACACTTCAAGTATTTACAATAGGTGAGAGAATATCGTGGCTTACGTTTCAAATGTACATGTGCATTGTACAAAGATTTTACCGAAATCTGCTTGTTTCCCGTTCAATATAAAACTTTTCTCTCTAACGTGATGCTGTATCATATTGTTTACCTATGCTCCACACTTACGAGCGATATATATATATTTATGTATGTAGCAAATATTATAGTAAAATATATTTGAAGAATGCATGCTGTGTTAAGTTCCATACCTATACATGAATGCCTGTCTGGACCCAGGTCGTAACCACCGATACAGCTGCACACGTACCCGCCGGTTCTCTCTGTACATGTTTGCTGACAGTTGCCGTTCTGTACAAGACACTCCTGCGACTCTTTAAAGTAGTCAATATTTTTAAATTAGTCATGTGCATTTGTTTCATGTATGAGTTGTCGTTCATTAAATGTTTGCTGTATATAATATGTCTTTATAGAAGCAAGTGTCCTCATCCCTATATAAACCTTTTTTTGTAATGTATAAGGTAAAGGGTAACACTGCATCAATTCAAAAACCCACACTCCTTTTCTACTAAGAGTCTTCCCCCTTACACATGGAAGCTAAAGCCTCCCTACGGAGTTTTCTAGCTTACTTCCCGTGTAAAGGTGAAATGCAGCTCTAAACATTCGATAATTTCTCACGTAAACTTTGTGGCCGACAAGTGTGGCTCTCATTTTCAAGCTATGCGTTTTCCCCCAAACAGTTGTACATTGTAATGTGTACGTTCTGTAGTGAATTTTGAGAGAGTTATCGCCCTTAGACTGCTAACCGCGCCGACAACTCTTTACATCCTGACTTCATACAGAATTCTAACTGATTTTGGGACCCGAGAGCAGTTCCCTACTACATGTACAGTGACGGTGTGTTATTACACACACCAAATTTACTACAGTTCTACCCCTACATTTTTAACGGTTTCGTCGTTCAGTTGTAGCCGATATTTACCGGCACACGTCATGTTGTCTGCAGCCCTGAGAGTATAACCAGCATTGCAGGTGCAGTAGTAGCCCCCGATAGTGTTCACACAGTTCTGTTCACACATGTGGTTTGTCTGACATTCGTCTGTTTCTGTAAAACATATGTCATTAGATCTGTAAAGAATTTGGAATCACGTAATACCCGTTACAAACTATATTAACTTGGTCCCAACATCATAGTTCGTATAGGGGAACCAAATCTTCACAATATGAAGGTTGTAAACATGCAAAAAGTCCAGACCTTCTTGCATTAAGATTGTACATATTTATAACGGAGCAAAGTCTTAACAGTTTTAGAATAAAGATCGTATAGTGGAGCCATTAATTTACAGCATTATGTTTGAAAGTATGAATTCTATTTACTGATGATAACATATCATGTTGAATTCGTAAAGGTGAAGAAAAGAAGCATGACCGTTTTCTACAACCTTGATATATAGGTCCCTGTTGTCCGGTGGCTCCCATGGGACCAGTGAGACCCACCATGCCCATGAATCCTTGATCTCCCTTGGGGCCTGTATTTCCCATTGGTCCAGTCTCTCCCGTCTTCCCTTCAGCACCCTGGATACCTTGTCCGCCGTTACTTCCGGACTGACCAGTCGCACCTGAAAATCAAACGATGTGGAGATAATGATTTACATACATTGACCAGACTTAAGAAAAGTTACGTATTTTTCTTTGAAATGTAAATGAATTTAACACTATACAAAAATTGAAATAAATGCCGTTATTTTTTTTTATTTTTTTTGTATTTCAAGATCAATACCTGTATCGCCCCTTTCGCCCTTTTGACCTGCGACGCCATTTAGTCCATTTATGCCCGGTAAGCCTGTGGCTCCGACAAGTCCAATCGGACCGATTGGGCCGGTAAATCCAACGGGACCGACGGACCCTTTCTCCCCATTCGCCCCTTGGTCTCCGACATCTCCCTGTGTTCCGTTGGCTCCTGTGGAGCCCTTGGGACCCACTGAACCCGCCAACCCTGTAGCCCCTTGAGTTCCTTGTACACCAGTTGAACCCTTAAACATTTCAAGTTAAAAGTAACATCTTTTAGACTTAATCAGTCTACCTGTTTCATTTTATCCTCCAAATCTTCAGAATCACTCCAAATTCCAATCATTCTACCGGACACTATTAAGTAAACTCACTCGCTGACATTTCCAGTTACAAATATACCATTTTCCATTGTAAATTTTCTGCGTCTAAATATATTTAAAACACTATGGTGATATTTCAAAGCAACTGCGGATTTTCATGAATGAACGAAATTAACAGAGCCTTTCGAACGAAAATAGTACTATACATAGTATATAAATCAGGTAATCAAATATAATATTATACAGATAGCATTCTACAATTACAGCACTGCCCGACCATGTACTCATTCACTGTTGAGTAGACTGGAACAAGAGGAGTAAAGTATCTTGCTCAAAGATACAACACAGTGCCGTGCCGTGGCTCGAACCCGCAACCCTTACAATTAAAATCTTGAATTATGTCAGTGTGACATTAAAGCCGCTCACCACTTTAAATTTAATTGCTTCAGTAACACGTTGAGCATCAATATCTACTATAATACCCAAGATATGTGTTCTGTATTCTGCTAATTGAAAATCAGGTCATGCGTTGATGTTGCCTTTGGAATTTCCAAAATCAGTCACCTCTTAAATGATGCCTTAAAAACAATCTCCCTTTCCTCTTTTTTCACCCTCTTTTGTGACGCATTGTTGTAATTTTCATTAGTTAGCATCCTCCAATGATATGACATGCGCATTTATGTGCATTATGGCAATCGGTGCATTTTGTGCTTGTGAAATGAAACATCTTACAAATGTTCTTGGAATATACTTTACCAACGTAAGCGAAGCTCTTTTCCGGTAACATGTGTACGAACAATTGAAGTCATGGTAACGTCGAGATACTATGCTTCCAAAATCTTCGTCACGGAAGTAGCTGGTATAGAGTTCCCGCGGTCCTATTTTTACGATGCTGTTTAGCTTTGCTCCACATTCTCAAAAATATCTCTTTATTTGTTTGTTTTTTCTATGGTTATCTAAATTTATGACATTAAAAATTATAGAAACTGAAGCTTCTTTCAAATTTTTAGTCTTTTCTTCTCTCCACCCAAACCGGAAGTAATTAGTAACTACCAAACCAGGCGGAAATCCGGGTATGTTTGGGCTATTGTGATTCTCTTTTTACACGATTTAGAGGGATCAGGCAAAGTATATCATGTCGGAAAATAAAATTGGAATTCCATCACCAATATACTTAACTTTTATAATAACAGATAATAACAGTTACATTTGATAAACAATAAATCTTCAAATATGAAGGCCCTCTACTAGGCCTCACTCTTTCCACAAAATTACGCTGAGGCCATAAACGGGGCAATTAAATGCAACAGTACCAAATGCATATTGTGTTTTCTCTTGAACTGCATAATTCCTTCGAATGCTCTTCTTTACTTATTATTAATTTTAAATTTATCGCTATAAAACGAATGAATAGATATGATTTTAAATAATGTTATTTAGAAAATAAGTTTGAAAAAAAAAGCATTTAGACTCTTCACTCGTTTCAGGCAATGCCTGTTTTCAAAATGAGTGATTTTGCCCAACAACAGATTCAAGTATATCCTATAAAAAAAAATACAGGTACATTTTATATGAATTAAAATGGGTAATGTTATGATTCAAAAATTATACTATACTATTGAAAAAATGTACGAGCTGCGCTCTCTCCAGGCCATGCCCGAGTCATATTACTTCATTACTTATACGGGTTATAAGTATATATCTACTTCTTGACAGCGTCAATGCCTGACAGTCTTCACATGTGTTTTCTCGAAACATTTGTGTTTCACACGCGTAACACTCCTCAGACCTCAATCCGAGTTGCTAAAACGCTCAAACCCAGTGCACGAATTTCACCACCACAACACTCATAGAATGCACCGGAGATAAACATTTTATTTTCAGCAATTATTTAAAGTATGGATTATTATTTGGAGAAGAGTATCAGAAAATTTTATGTAACCCACACTAGTGACAGGTGAGTGTCAGAGATTCCACTTTCTATTTACGATAACGAAACTATATAGCGGAAGAATGCAAGACTGAATTATGCGCACGCACCCCGAACGGAAGTGGGTCCGTCATTTCTTTCTATGAACAGAATTAATAAGCCGCTCGGCTCTTGCCAAGAGCGGCTTAAAAACAAGAATTACGCTTAATTATATGCGTCGCCTGTCCCGCTTTGTCAATATAATAAGCATTTAACAAAGAACATAAGGAAATGGACCTAAACGCAAAATCATAACATTGATTTTTTTTAAAGTCCAGAAATTTCGGGGTTTTATCCGAAAAAGTGCAGAAATCAATGAAACGTTTTTAGTGCAATAGGCTCCTCTACCCATGCTACATCTGTGATCGAGGTTTTGTGGGTGTAACTTTGTCAGAAACAGAGCAAAACGCAAAACCTTGACGTTGAGGTGTTTTTTTCTAACTCCAGAAATTTGAGATTTTTAGCAAAAAAATATAGAAATCGTTAAAATGCTAGTGAAGAGTGTAATGCATTCAGTTATACATCCCATGATACACCTATGACCCAAGTTTGGTTGCTCTAGCATTTATACTTTGTCAGAAACAGCCTAATATGTAAGAGCTAAACGCAAAACCTTAACGTTGAGGGTTTTTCTAAGTCCAGAAATTTGAGTTTTTTACCAAAACAATGCAGAAATCAATGAAATGTTTTTAGTGCAGTAGGCTCCACTACCCATGCTACATCTATGATCGAGGTTTTGTTGGTGTAGCTTTGTCAGAAACAGAGCTAAACGCAAAACCTTAACATTGTTGACGACGCCGTCGCCGCCGTCGGAGAAGCAACGCCTATGTGTCTTTCCGACATCCATCGTAGGCGACACAAAAACATCCAATAAAGAATCATTATTTTTATCAAGAAAGATTTGACAGCTATTGTCATATAGGTGTATGTTACCTGTGGACCCGTTGGTCCCGTTGTTCCGGCAATACCCTGTTGACCCATTTGTCCCTGTAGTCCTCTTTCACCTTTCACACCGGTTCTGCCCTGCTCCCCGACGACCGCACTTGAGTCATCGTCTGTGTAAAATATAATCCCATGTTTTTTTTGCTATATATTGAGTTCACTAATTTGGTTAAATTAGTTTTTTCAAAGATCTGGCGACTCATGTTTATAATCGTTTATGGAGTTTGCTTTGAAATAATTCGTAAGTAAATTTGAACTTGAATTTGAAAATTGCAGAAAACCCCCGATAGAACACCAATACAATCCTTACAAACCAGACTTCTATTATAAAATTAAACTTTGTGTATCAACTTATACTAATCACTCTTGTCTGACCGGATGGTAGCGAGCAGGGGTTGTAAACATCGGAGGAAACCAGAGTAACCGGAGAAGAAAAAGTGGGTACCATGTAAACACTCCCTTATAAATTATCGTGCCACTGGCCATGTTTGCTCGAAAATTCCAGGAAACAGTCTTTGATGGAAAAGGTGCAACTCTTGCAGATTACTGCGTGACCTCAAATTCGCCAGCACTGGGGTCATTAATTGTTTAACGTCCTATATATCAACAGCTAAGGTCATTTAAGGACGTGACTACATGTGTCTGGGGTATGCATGCATGTGTGTATGAGTGCCGGAAGCAGGGTTACCATGACACGCTAGAACCCAAAAGGACCAGGAGAATTAGACACACTTCATACTTTAGTGTAAATGGCTAACTTGTGAGGTTTGATGATCGTATATTTAGCTCAAAGAAGCAAATCGTATGCAGATACACGGTGAAAAGTATTTTTGCAATAGTGCCATTTTCAAATAAGCTTGCATGCAAGAATTTTTGCTGTCACTCATCAGTGTTATCACGTGCAACTCCATTGATTTTTAACAAACACCTGAAATAAAAATTCCAAAAATTGAGAAAAACATGTAAAGGTAATGTAAATAAAAAAAAAATTAAAAAATTGAGAATGTTTACTTACCCACACAAGAATAGCCGTTACTTTGTAGAGTGAATCCAGGCATACACAAACACACATATCCAACTCCCGTGTCTGTACAGTTGTGATCACAAAAGTTGTTCCCATCATTTACACATGTGCGTGGTATGGCCACTGAAAACAAAACATTAAAAGTACAGCAAATTAACTTGTAAACATTGCCTCTTTATCGGCATCACGCCTAACCGAGTTGCACAATTTCTAACAAACGACAATATGATAAGCAAACCCACTTCCCGAATTTTGAAATAAAAAATATTTTCTTTCGCAAGTTTAATTTTATTTCATTACTCATAACGCTGTTTGAAATGGTTAGAGCACATGCTATAATAGTATCCGAACAGCAAATATATTTGGTAGTCGTAATCTTTGGCGATTTTGCATGCGACTAAGCCAAAGGTTTTTTATTTGACGTCTCATGATATGGACATACAGATTTATTTCGTTTCTATTCCGTCTTTGCCTTTTGCAGAGTCATCTTCTCTTGGGAGCAGGTATTGATTGTTACGCCACTTGTTTGTGAGAGAAACGTCATCATTTTTTTGTGAAAACGACGTAATTTTCTCACACAGACCAATGACGTAACAATCAATACCTGCTCCCAAGAGAAGATAACTCTGCAATACGCAAAGACGGAATATCGTAGTGGTTAACAGCATATTTTCATGATTTTCAGAAACATAATTACCGCCTGTATCGTGTGATACTCTCGGGTCCAGTGTTAATGAGAATCAAAACGCAAAACATAACAATAATAAATAAGTGTTAGCGACAATAAATTGACCGTTATGTGATTTTGAATTGAGCTATTTAAATTTAATTAAAATTAAATTTCTAGATCGTGAAGCTGCCAAATCTCTCAATTAAAGCGCTGCTAAATGTACCCACTATAATATGGTAAGAAACATGTAAGATGAAAAAAACACTAAATTATCGTTACTTTAAGTTTTAACAGAGAGTTTAAATGATATCTGTCAGAGCTACATCAAAATGTTTGATACCACACGTGGCATTATCTGTGGGGTCCAGTTGGTAGAGGGCGTCACAGCTGCAGTAGTATCCTGTGACGTCATCAGTACACAGCTGGTTGCACACGCTGAAGCCTCCTCCCTGGCACGTGGTCACTGCATTGTTGGCTTTGAAATGAAATTATTTCCATTGGTCTATATATAAGGCGAGAACACTGTTTTAATATAATACAAATCAGGCCGGTTTGTGGTTCGAAATGTAAGCTAATAATTAAGGGTCTTTAGCTGTACTTTGCCCTAAAGCTTTTCTTTGGCGATACCTTCCGCATTTCAAGCAAAACCATTATTACACACATGTCAAGAATTCTGTGCATTTGACAAGTTAATGAAGATATATAGCAATGGTGTAAATAACTATAGATGCACATCAAATTTTGAAGAATGGTTATTAAATTTTAGCCCAATACGACTCCGACTGATAGAAAACTACTAAATAAACTCTATAGTTATTCCAGTTTCCAACTGGAGAGATGGGATATACATGTAGTAAGAATTCAAAAATTATTGGGTGCCTACATACATGTTACAGTCCATTCAATTTCATTTAAGTACATTTATTTACAACACCGAGAGTCATTTTCGGGCGGGATGTCGCATTTCATGAACGGACGCGGAATACGAACAACGGAAAGCTTTATTTTATGTGTAGCCTTATCAATCTAAAAACCAGTGCTTTCATTAAGACTATGTACAACAAGTATAATTCGTATATTCCTTTGATTGAACCCCAATATTAATCGACATTAGTTAACAGAAATTAAGGAAATGTTATGACTGTCTAAAAATGCGTACATGTATTTCCATTATATCAATTATTGATGGACGGAAATCATAAATAAAAAGGACTCGGGACGTTAATGGCCTATTTTGGCCTCATAAAATGTAATAAAATCAACTGGGATTTATTTGCCAATTTCTGTTATGAACATCATATTGGCTAACTTTTCCAGTCCGCATGTGCATATGCCCTACCAAAGCAACGGAATTGGTGTTTTCGGAGAGTTAGCATGCAGAAATGAAAGCCTCCTCACGAGACTGAACACAGGTACATTTATGACAATGTTTAAGTATGTCAAATATGTACATGTATTTGTTTGTTGCATGCGGAGGCTTTCAAAACCTGAAGTGCTTTAGTTAATTTCCTTCAAAATGGCCAATTTCCATCCAAATAGCGCACAACGGACGATATTCACACATTTTATTATGAAAATGCGGGTTTATGTCTCTATTTATAATGCCATATCTCCTAAACCAGTTGTCAAATAAATTTGAAATTGCATACCCCCATGAGGCCGGAAATTACCCATAACGCCCCTAGTCATTTGATATCAACATTGAGCTATTTCCCCCTTCATGTCAGTCTTTCTGTGCATACGTACATTCATCCATCATCACCCGTAGCGAGTAGAATGTGGGACCCAGCCCCACCCTGTCAATAGTGATGGTTTCCCCGACGGCCGGGACAGGGTTGGATGGGACGGAGAACCGGGTGCTCAGACTGGCAGTGCCGTTAAACTGAGCCGTGATGGACACGGCCTGGAGGCTGTTGTAAAAGGCAAGATGATCGCCCGCACTCACAACTATGTAGTCAGCACTGTTGAAGTTTTGCTGCAAAATAAATCCACCCAAAATATATATATATAATGACACAAACTTTTTCCTACATCCTCAGTGGTTGGATTGTTATATTGACTTGGTTTTTCTGTTTTTATACACAACACTCAATTTATGACGTCATTTCAATTGTAGAATACAGTACTGTCCTTCTGACAATGAATTTCCCATCTTCGCTAGCCAAGTGTTCGCTTCGTATATTAGTGTATACGAAGCGAACACTTGGCTAGCGAAGATGACAATTTCCATACGTTCCATCTTCGATCTTAAATGTTTAATTATAATTACTAAGGACTTTTATTTCGGTAAATAATAATTATGGGGTTATATTTTTGGAAAAGGGAGTTAATGGCATAGCAGAATATGCAAAAAGAATTATATATCCGTGTGCTGGTTTTTGTGCTATGATCGGTCAAATATACCAATTTGACATAATATGAGATTTTAAGTGAATTTTGTTGTTTTGGACATTTGCAGGACAAATTATCTTCCAAATGTGCTATCATATAATTATTATGTATGAATGTTTGCAGAATTGACAAAAAAGTAGTATTTTCTTTTAAAAATTGGACGAAAATTTTCTTTAACTTATTCATTTAACTCAGAAAAGAAATTTAAGATACCCCTACCCCTTATTTTTTAATGACAAAATACTCATTTTTCAGGAATTTTTTCTCTTTTTTTAAGGTCATAGGAACGGAAATAGGAAGTACATATCTAGTTGAAAGTCCAATGTAGGGAGACATTATCACAATTTCCGCATATTCTAATGAGTCTAGAGTGTAACAGAACAATGTGTTCTCTTAATATTAAAGTACTTCAAAGCAACCCATATCTCCATAACACAAAAAAAAAAAAAATCAAGTTAATCCTTATAATTTAATCTCCTTTACACAATCCATGTGGAAATCCACTTTTATTGATGGACTATTTTCTCTTAGAAATTGTTACGCCGCTGTATCAGCCAGTCATAAGTTGACGTCGGGAAATCAAAATATAGTCCTATGTGTTTTGGACGACAGACAACGTTTTATCCTAAAGGATTACAATAGTATGTGCATGTACATTAATTGAATTGAATAAACCACCTATAGAAGTATAATGCTGCGTCTGGGTACATGTAAATACAACTGGCGTCATAAACTTCGGTATACGTAAAAGAAGATTGCTAGAACTGCAAGTCATCATGTCATTTAGTGACATTTACAGCTCCCTGTTCCACTGCAATGTTGTGTTTGCACAGTACATACACAGTAACCTCCCCTTAATTTCGTGCGGTTAGCTCAGTCGGTTTGTATTATGTTTATCTCATCTGTATTATGTTCATTAAACCCCTGCAACGTATGGTTTTCTTTTCAGAAATGATTTATCAAATGTATAAAGTTAGTCATGTTAGGGAAATAAACGGTTTCCAATACGTAAAGTTAGTTTTTGTGCAATGGTACGGGGAACCTGCCTGAATGCATGTAGGAAAGGTGTCGGAATTTGAATTTGTATTTTCATCAAGATTCTTCTAGTCAAACATACATAACGTAATATAATCCTCCGATCATAAAGTCTGTATTTTTCTAATAGTTTAATTTATTTCAGTTTTTCCAGCATATACATGAACAAAGTTATTAACAGGGAATACCTCCTAGTGCTTACCAAAATATATTTCCGTTGCAAGTTGTGATATGTTGATAAATAGTATAAAAGTAAGATAAGAGGTCTAATAAGTATTGTTTTTGTGTTAGTAATTTAAGTCCGTTGTGGGACAGATACGTACCCCGGTAATCCCCGTTTCGACAGAAGGCTGTGCTGTAATAGGGTAGATCCCCACGATCCGGTACTGTGTCGTGGTGGACGAGTCTCCAATCGGACGGAATATGGTTAGTGTGAATGGTGACCACGAAATGCTACGGTCAACAAAGAACTCCAGTCGCATGATGGTCCCAGACGGGAGAGTGACCCCGTCCAACATGTAGTACCCCGCCCCGCTACTCTGGGCACCCTGTCCAAAGTCAAGATCCGGCCCCACATAGAGCAGGCTACTCACAACTCCTGTAAAACAGAAAGCATTTTATTGTTACGAAACAGTCTGTAAGTCGGCGATACAAGCATAAAAACAGATATTATTTACTGACACTTTGTCATTTCTAAATATTCATTTTTCCGGTAAAGGAATTTCCGTCGAACTTAAGGGTGTATGTTACTTTACACATTATGCATTCGATTTGTGTAAGAGTTATATCCCTTAATCAACTTTTGTATGGTTATCGATATTATTTGCTTGAACGTTTTTAATTCTTGCATTCTGTTGAGCTTTCAGTTGATCATACTAATGTACTAATGATGAAAAAAAAAGCGTATTTAGATTTTTCGTTAATGCAGATTTTTTTTTTGTGGAAGGCACTACGTACAATAAGCTTGCTCAACCAAGGAAACGTAATGGCATTATTATTTCACAGCTAAACAGCAAACAAAGTCAATAGATTATTTGTAATACCATACTGTATATCTCACATTTTTGTTTCCTATTTCAGATAAATAAAGTTTCAAATATTTTTTTTAAAAATTCGTTGAAACTTACCAACAAACCTTGACAGACACAGCAAGAAAAACAGTATTTTCCCCATTTACCTGTAAAGAATAAAACAACAGCACTATCAATGTTTTTTGTAATGTTGTCAACTGTAATATACACAAATACAACACTGATAAAATACGAACAAAGTTATAAGATAGCGTCGGTAATACTGTAATACCGTAAGCCCTTTGGACATTGAATTACATTTTTAATTTGAAATAGCAGTTCTAAGTCTGTTACCGTCAATCAACCACGGCAGTGTTCGCTCGAGATCAACACATGGTGATCTAATGGTAAGACTCACACAGTTTTACAAAATTAAACCGCAAAAATGGATCCTATCAAATGTGAACAAGACATGTTTGTAATGGTGTATTAAAATTTTAAAAACCAAATTTTTTCCGGAGCTTTATCTTGATTTCTTCAGATTTTCTTTTTTTTTATCAAACTAAACTGTAAGCCTGTGTGTTTGTATGGTACCGTTTCCAATAATGCGGAAAGATGATCAGTTACATCTGTCAATAACACTTGTAGTTAAATTCACATTGATTTTAATGCTTACTGTAACTTGTATATTTTCAAGACTTTTATTTCATCGAATTTGATGTCAGTTGCATGTAATAGTAAGAAAAGGCCAGAAGAGATATGTTTTAAATATTTAATATAAATTTTCGATTTTTTATGACCCATAGTTTACGACTCTTAAGGTCATTGGAGTGTATTTTTAAACGGAAACAGGAAGTACATCCCTAGTTGAAAATCCAATGTAGGGAGACAGTATCACAATTTCCGCAAATTCTAATGTTTAATATTAAACTGATGAATATTGTATGTTTATTATTGACAGCATTTATTAAATTGATATACATTAATGCAATACTAATGTTTGTCAGTATCATTTTTATTGACCTTATTTTGTAAAAATATTGTGTCTTTCATTTTTTTTTCAAAATTCACTCCTTTTTACATAAATTTCCATTTAAAATCCTTAAAATTCTGACAACCTATATTTTTTTTGTGGCAGATTTTCGTTTTTACTTAAAAGCAATATAACTACAAATTTGAAGAAATTCTACTGAGAAATGGTGACACAATCCTATTACCTTAATGATGAACACGCAGTCATGTGTGTTTCTTCTCCAATACACCATACCTTACACTGATTCCTGTAGACATCTTATGATCAATGTATAATGTTGACGTGTTTATGGAAAAGGTTTAAAACTTTTAAAATAGGCAAGGTTTTATGTTTCAAGAGAAAAATAAACATCTCAAATACATTTCAGTTGCGAAAATTATCCCACCATAGCTATTCATGCCTTGTTTATTGAAATACAAATGTACATCAAGCGAAAAACGTCCTCCATTCTCTGTAGAACCGATGGTTTTTGTATACTTTTATTTGTATTTGACTATACGGGAGGATTTTTCCCAAATAAAAAAAAATACAACCTACGTTTAATTATATTGCATGTGCATGTTTCCGTGTACATATTCAACGATTGAAGACAATATTATACATTCCATGTAATAAATGCGTTTGTAATTTATCTTAATTGTCCTTTAGTTAAACAAAGAATTGCAAAGGAAGCACAATAAATCGAAACAAGTCTACACTACAAACTAAGGGACTTCACAGCTCACTTGGAATTTCATTTTTAAACAAAAAGTTGTTGAATTACGATTATTGAAATACCTCAAGAAATAAAAGTTCTAAAAAGGACTTAATCGACAGGGATAGGCAAAATCCAAGGACATGGATGTATTTGTTTTTGCCATGCTCAGCATTTTTTATTAATCGTTATGGGATAGGGATCGCAACTGTTTTCCATGATAGGAACCAAGGGAGTAAGTACCCAGGGGCAAGGCCAAACCAAGGAAATTCATAGTAACACGGGTATTTTCATCACCTATGTAAAGCAATGGTGTATACGTACATGTAATAATGTGGGAATTTCAACAGTGTCCATGCTGTGACCCGGAAAGTAAGTACTAGGGGTAATGCATGACCCAAGATTCAATACTAGTAGCATGAGCAAAAAAAGTCTCTTCATGCCTAAAAATAATGGTCACAAGGTGGGATATCAATTATGGGGTTAGGCGAGGCCCCAGTACAAAATTTAGTAGCATGGTCGTAATTCATTTCTAGAAATTGTATACAAGGTTATATATAATGTTGAGTTCTTCTGTTTCCATGTAATGGCCCAGGAAGTACATTGTAATTATCCTGGGGCAAAGCTAAACCTCGGGGGCAACTCCTAGCAGCATGTGTGAATTTAATCGCCTTGCCTGAGTTACGTTTAAGACCAATATGGTAACAATTTGTGAAATCCATAAGTACAAATTCTTACTGGGCCCCAACACTCAGTCACACTTTCTCAATTAAAAACTTGATTAATTAATCCCAAGGATGCAATATTCCGTCTTTGCGTATTGCATAGTTATCTTCTCTTGTGAGCAGGTATTGATTTTAACGTCATTGGTTTGTGTGAGAAAATTACGTCGTTTCCTCAACATTTTATGACGTTACTCTCACAAACAAATGGCGTAACAATCAATACCTGCTCACAAGAGAAGATAGCTCTGCAATACGCAAAGACGGAATAGCATATGTGGTTGAAATCTAACAAGTTGTTCAGTATGAGAAAGGTTTTAAAAGGTAATGTTGACGAACGACGGACACAGTGCCATGGCATACATAAGTCCAACCAGACAAGTCCTTTGGACCAAATGAGCTAAAACAATAATAATAAGAAATGTGTAATACGGTCACACTGACAGATCCACGCACGTGCAAAGGTGCCCGTTTATTTATACATACTTGTAACTTACCTCGATCGATTTCTGAAACGCAGCTGATTTGGTTTATCCTCGATAGGCCTATATTAATCCTAGGTGGCTTATGTTTCCTCCGAAGTCAAAAATCTTGCCGAATCGTTCATATCCGTTTTTGAGTGTACACGCGAGATCTGAGAGCGAGTACACACTTTCCCGCCACATCCGCTAAATGCACGTGCAGTTACAGATTTAATATTGCGACCGTCTTTTATCAGAGGGTGTGTTTACATACGTTTGTCTGAAAATGAAAACAATAAAACAACCAGGTAAATAGGCAATACTTTTTCATTACTTTCTTTTGTATTGCAAAAAGCTGTATGAATGAAGAAATATAGCATATTTTATATTTAGTGGTGCCCCATTGAATACGACCATGCATTTCGATCAAAACCATGACTGAGGTAGGGGTGGGCTGGGGGGNTGAAATTCATATACTCCTGTATTATACAACTTATTGACAAGTGCGCTATATAAATGTTGTATATTATATTATTATTATTGTACACAGTATCCGTTACATGTGTTGATACAGTTTTGTTACAGTACACATTCAAACTTAAATTTAGTTTGACTTTTACATATGATGCTACAAGTATACATGTTCATACAAATGTAGAAACATGAATATGGAAATCAAGCTCTGAGCCTACACGTATTTCAATCCCTTTCGTCATCTCAAAATTAATCTAAAATTTCACACAATGTCATTTAAATACATCAATCATGCAAAATGTACAAATTCATTGTAGTGTGCTTAAATTAATCATTGCTTTATTTTCATTATTTCTTTACATTTAATCTGTATCGAAATCAAACTTACCCTTGTATATCTGTAATGCACTTTGTAGTGCACACGTAGTGAACATGGTAGTACACAAGACAAAACATTGTAACTTGTATTCAACTCAAGTGCACTACGGTGTTGGCTCCAGTGCAGTACGTTAAACGGTGTTGGCTCCAGTGCACTACGTTAAACGGTGTTGGCTCCAGTGCAGTAAGTTAAACGGTGTTGGCTCCAGTGCAATATGTTAAACGGTGTTGGCTCCAGTGCACTACGTTAAACGGTGTTGGCTCCAGTGCACTACAATAAACGGTGTTGGCGCCAGTGCAGTACGTTAAACGGTGTTGGCTCCAGTGTACTACGTTAAACGGTGTTGGCTCCAGTGCAGTACGTTAAACGGTGTTTGCTCCAGTGCAGTAAGTTAAACGGGGTTGGCTCCAGTGCACTACGTTAAAAGGTGTTGGCTCCAGTGCACTACGTTAAACGGTGTTGGCTCCAGTGTACTACGTTAACGGTGTTGGCTCCAGTGCACTACGTTAAAAGGTGTTGGCTCCAGTGCACTACGTTAAACGGTGTTGGCTCCAGTGCAGTAAGTTAAACGGTGTTGGCTCCAGTGCACTACGTTAAACAGTGTTGGCTCCAGTGCACTACGTTAAACGGTGTTGGCTCCAGTGCACTACGTATACGGCGTTAACCCAGAGTCGTTTATTGTACTACTGACTTTATACATGTACATCTCTGTTTTATCGCAATTTGATAGACTGAAGTACATATATATTGTATTAAATTATTGATTATAATGAAAATGGTTCATGTACGATATGAAATAAAGTTAGGGAAACATAATTTAATTGAGTACTACTGTACATACTATCAATTAATGCACATATGTTTTTTCTTATTATTTAACGTTTCAACACGATTTATGTAAACAAGACAAATGTATAGTATGTGCATCTCGGTTGATGATAGAAAATCGATAGACATATGTACAATTTCAAAGGGAAAAACTATAAAAATTCATTTTAGCATACGTATAACTGAATTCGTATCACAAATAAAAAAAATCCAAATACATATTTTATAATCATATCAGAAAATAAACTCACCAGAAACTACCATTTTGATAATTAAAAATAACATTTGAATTTATTAAATCAAGGGTTTTTCAATGTTGTAATGATATATGACTTGGTGTATATACGAATAAAATCGTGTCACGGTAAATAATTGATTATTTATGATGATAATAATATTTTAACCTCAATGTAAATATTTGAATCCTCAATGTTTCAATTGCACAATTGCAGTGGCGGATCAATGTATTTTCACAATTTTCCTAAAGAAAATCCCCACATGGAACCCACCCACGGCAGATAGGTATCTGGTTCCGCCACTGAATTGATGTTCATATATAGCAATTAGTAATTTCAAAATACTTGACTGATTTTTTTTCATGAACGTGCAGGTTTTTTCGAATGACGTTACAGTTCATAGTTTTCGGGGAAAATAATACAGATGTCTGCCTTTTAGGGATTAACGTATTTTGGGGAACGAAAAGAAATAACACACACTTGTTTTTATACTATGATGTTAGATTTGCTCCTGTCAGTGATCGCACATTTTAGTCGACTGCTACCTATACACTTAATTAAAATTTGCAAGAGTTATCTATCTTCATTTAGTGATGTCACTTCCTTTTAAAACGTGCATGGTGGTGAAACAGCCTCACTTGTAAACATGAGGCTTGAAAAGTGTTATTTTTGCTCGTCTACAGTATATCCTGGACATGGTGTCCATTTTGTAAGAAACGACTGTAAGGTATGTTTGTATTTACATAGTCACAAGGGTGTATTTTGAATTGATTATGGTAAACAGTCGATAAATGTGACTTGTTTTTTTGTTGTTCTACCATCCCCATCGACCAAAGTGCTGAGCAGGAGTTTATCCCAAACACTTATTAATATCTGTGCCATTTGCTTTAATCTTTTAACATGTGTATGGGCATTTGTTATCACAGAAATATAAGGTCTAGGGTATTGTCTAACATTTATTTACTTCTGTTCAGTGGCCATGGTGTGCCTAGATTTTCGCACGTCCAGCAATGCACTTACCGTTTTTCTCCAAACTCTTCTTCTGTTTCATACAGAAGTTATCTTAACCTAGCCACATCGAATTTGTCTAGTCGATTGTACTTGTGCAAAACACTTCACACTGGCACTGCACATATCTAATTACGGATGGCTTTTCGGATGGCTTTTACTAAATCCAATGCAAGGGAAATAACTCATACTGATATTTAAAAACCAGTAGATACCTTGGCCATTTCTATACTGTTAAATTATTTATTTTATTAGTAATATAAGTCTCTACAGTTCTTGTCCATCAGCGTTATCAAAGTATGGTGCCTACCGGCAGGATAAAGCCTAGCATTCACAAAGTATTTCATAAAACAATTATAGATTATCACACTGTATTTTCAGAGTTTGTCGTGAGAACAGTTTTCTCATCGCGAGCACATGGATAAAATCGAGAGGCCACCGCAGGTTGACTCCAGATTTTATCTACGTGTGAGCGATGAGAAAATTGTTCGAGCGACAAACAATGAAAATATTGTATGATAAACTATTTATCATCTATATACTACTACTTTATATATTTCTCCATTTAAAAAACTCAACTAAACACCATGTTTTCCAAATGACTTGGAGGTCAATGGTCAATGATCGCCTGTGACTTACGTAAACAAATAGTGTTTGCAGGAATACAATGAAACTTGAAACTACGTAGACATATTTTTTTTAAACAATCCTATCTTCATTGGCTTTTCGATATGCACATTTACACCAGAAACGTGTTGTTATAATTCTCACAATATTTTTCCTTAACTTTGTATTGATATGTTAATGACAGACTATTTTCTTATGGGGATCACTTTTGTGTGGACACTATTACCGGTTTCGGACGTCATCTGGCGCAAGCAGACTTCCTTTTTTGAGAAAAATATGTTCCAAAGTGCTCGGGAATTGGAAAATCCGTTCTCAAGTCGTTTTCAACTTCTTCTCATACTGATCTTGACAAACAAAATGATAATGAATTTATCATGCTACCGGTGGGTGGTATAACGTAGTATATAGATGATAAATGCCTTTATCCACATGAGTAGCATATCATAGTTGTCACATGGATGGTAATCAGATTCTAATAAAGCGAATAGCTTGGATATATACATGCCATGGATTTCTGATGTCAATGGCAATGAGTTGATATTTATCTCATAAACGAAAAATAATAACAAAGCAAACTATTTTTATTTCACAGATATTTAGGTTCTGTAGATCAAAATGCGTAAAAGCCTTTAAGAAAAAGCGTAACCCAAGGAAAACAAAATGGACCAAGGCCTTCAGGAAAGCTGCTGGGAAGGACCTTGCCGTGGATCCATCATTTGAGTTTGAGAAGAGAAGAAATGTACCAGTCAAATATGATAGAGAATTATGGACAACAACCGGTACAAGTTTTAATATGCAACCTCTACACATAAATTTATGCAGTGAAGTCTTCCGTGTTGTAAAAATATACAATTTAATATATACATATGTTTTAATATACCTAAAAAATGGTCAGTTTATTCCCTTAAATATATAGGTGAACTGAGTAAGAGTTATGGCATGGTTTCAATACAGACTTCATTTTTAGCCCACCATCATCTGATGGTGGGCTATTCAAATCGTCCTGCGTCCGTGGTACGTCGTCCGTCCTTAAACAGTTCTTGTTCATCGCTATTTCTCAGGAAGTACAAGAGGGATCTTTCTCAAAGTTTATATGTAGGTTCCCCCTGGTCCTAAGTTTTGCAGGGCAACTTTTGGGACTGATTGGAATAAACAAAATGGCCGATAGGCAGTCATCTTGGATTTGGACAGTGAAGGGTTGTTTTCACTATATTTCTCAGGAAGTACCAGAGGGATCTTTTTCAAATTTTATATGTAGGTTCCCCTTGGTCCCTAGTTGTGCAGGGCAACTTTTGAGACTGATCAGGTAAAAAAACATCGCCGACAGGCAGCCATCTTGGATTTTGACAGTAAATGTTTGTTATGGCTAGTATACTCAGGAAGTACTGGAGAGATCTTTCTTAATTGTTTTATGTGAGTTCCCCTTGGTGTGAATCGAAGTTATGCATATTTTTATGAGAATGACCGGATAAACAAATCTTTGATTTTGACAGTTAAAGTTTGTTAGTGCTATTTCCCACTGGAGGGTTCTTTCTCAAATTCTATATAGAGGTTCCCCACTTTCCTTTATTGTTCATTGCATGTTTACTTTTGAGCCTGATCAGATAAACAAAATGGCCGACCGACAGCCATCTTAAATTTTTGACATTGAAGGTTTGTTAGTACTATTTCCAAGGAATAACTTGAGGGATCTTTCTCAAATTTGATATGTAGGTTCCCCTTGATAACCTTGTTGTGCATGTTATATTTTGAGACTGATCATGAACAAAATGGCTTGCGGAAGAACTAAACAGATCTTTCTCATATTGCAATGATTTATTCTATTTCTTTCACATTAAGTATTGTACTAGTAAATATGTGAAATGACCAACTCACTTTGAAGGTTGTCTTTTATACACAGCAATATTAAGTTTAGATCAAAAGTTACCTCAAGGTGCATTTACTGTTAACATGACTCGATCAAACAGATTATAGAGAAAAGAAGAGAAAAGATCGAACTGACAAAGAACTAATGAAGATGGTACAATGGTGGACGCCAAGATCCCTCTGGGATCTCTTGTATTTTATACTACAGCCTGTGCTATTACTATTATTATTTACGGATATTTCATTATCATTGTAATTGAAGACTAACCCTGCTGCGTGGTTTCATAACACATAGTTAGACTTCAGCTTGTGTATCTAGAAAATTGACTTGGGACAAGCCTTGATGTCATCCACTGATTACTAGATCATAAAAATTGCAACAATCCAACAGAGAATAATAGTTTATTTGGCAAGGAAAGAGTCATTGTAGTTAATCTTATGTAAACATGTGTAACTTGTTCTATCCAGAATTTATCATCTTATTTGTAATGATGCATAGGTATAACAAAGAAAAAATAAAAGATATTGGTGGTACTTGTATCCTTTAACTAGAAAATCTTTGGTATTGCAGTAAAACATTGAAGATTTTTTTTTTTTTTTTTCCCCGCAGTGAAAGCAATGAAGAGGATTGACGAAATTAGGGTAAAAAGACAGAACCAACATATTCTTAACAGGTATGTAGCCAATAAACTGTATTTGGGTATATAGCAAAATTGATATTAGGAAATTTGCAAATATACATGTATGTATCCATACCATATAAATTCAATTTATAAAAAAAGGACTCTTTAAAAGCTTTGGGCTCTTATACATTATGCCCATTCACTGTTCTGAACAGCACTGACATAGCTATCTCGGTCAAATATATTGATGTTTGATTTGAAAAGGTGATGTTAAATGTATTGTTTGTATTTCCTTATTGCATTTTACTGTTAATCCAAAAAATCTGTTTGTTTTATTTAGACCCAACTGACAGTTTTACACATAAATGACTCTGTTATGTACAATCTAGAGTAATTAATGCTTCATCTACATATTGTGACAATAAGATCGATTTTTTTTTCTATATTTTTGAGAGTTCATTCTTTTTACTTCTTAATCTTTATTTATAGCAATTTTTCTTTATCAAATGTCATGGTATTGTAAAGAATATAGCTTTAAAATGTCATGTGAAATAATTCAGAATGTATTGGCAACTTCTGGTAAGAACAAATATGTGCTGTATTGTTTTGCCATGTTTTACAACTTCATAACTATGAATATGTCAGTTCTTTCAACAACCACATGTTGAATTCTACTGTGACTAAAATAGAGAAATAGAAATAAGAAATCATCTATTTACAGTCATAAAATATCACATTCTTAAAACAGAAATGTTTATGGTATGTTATATTTGATAGATTAAAGAAAGGCAAAGAACTGGAAAAGGCCAACGACATCAAAGATGTGGAAAAGAATATTCATCTCATTCGATCACCAGCAGGTAAGACTTTGAAAATAAAAACGAAAAATAAACAATGAAAACATGAGACTGGCTATCAGCAAAAAAAAAAAAATGTTAAGCAAATTTACTACATGTTTCTGCTAAAGGGTTTTCCAAAAATTCGTGCAGGCATTAGGGAATGTGGAAACAAAGAGTTTTTCTTTTGTTTAAATAACTTTTCACAAAGGTCAAAACAAACCGTATTTTTTAACCAATTTTCAAAAAGTTTGTGAATATTATCTCCCCTTGAGCAGAAAGCAAGATGTATGTGTATAAGATGTTGAAATTGTTTTTTGTGTGTTCATGTCCTGGCAATTAGTGAACGATTAGGCCTAAAACAAAAGCCTGTTTACAGAATATATTATTAAAGCAATAACTTTCCGTATATATATTATTTCGTTGCTTATCCTACAAGTTTGAATATCAGTTTTAAACTAGCACTTATATTTGCTGCATTACAACATATGTAGAAATGTAATGACACCAAACCTCATTTGACTACCTAATGTACCAACCTACCCAATGTCTTGAACAAAAGCTTATGGTGAGTTTTCATGGTGCAGTCGGTTTTATTTCCCTGGTAATGAAAAGAATTACATGGATAATGGAGAATACGTGTATGTCTATATAGCAAACTTTTTTTTTCAATCCCCTTGGGTTCATTACCGTATTGAAAAGTTGTCCTTTGTAACCTTTTTTGTTTAAGTATTGTGAAAAGAAAGCTAAAATTTGGATTAGAATCATAAATGACACAAACTCGTCTAGGAACATTGTATATAAATTAAAAAGACGAATGTATAAATTTTATATTTAAATATTTATCTTGTAGTTTTAAATCTTAATATTCTTTATGTTACTTTTTTGCTCTACAGCGAGGAGTAAACTTTTGGAGAAGAAAATGGTGCAAGTCATCAAGGAAGAAAACATGGATATGGACGAAGACTTATAAGATGGAGAACTGTTACATTTAATGTCTCAGACCGTGACAAAGTGACACATTTTTCTGAAAGAGTTTCACCTGGAAGGACCTGTGCTAATTAAGATACCACTGAACTTGTACACTCACAAACGATGTGAAGTGGGTTTTTTCTGTAAATCATGATAGTCTCAATGTTCGCTACTTGCTGCAGTTTCTTTTTAACAAATACTAGGAGGTTTTTTTTTTCATGTACATCATTGTTAATGATATGTTGAATCAAACATATATAAATGATATGAGGATAACATTTATTTGCGACACCTTTCCAGACCAGAGATGCTCATGCTGTTAGTGTATTTGACACCATCACAAAAACTCAGTAAATGTAAGACAATACTTGTATTGTTCGCTGTTGCCCCATGCTTAAGTCAATGTAGAACGAAAAATAAAACACAAAAAATGAAAAATTATTTTTGTCTTTGTCATCAAATTTATTTATTTCATACCTGTACAATTATTCACTTTTATTTCCCCAGACATAGTTCAATGAAGGTATAGGTATGGGTTGTATGATTTGGACAAGTTTCACCTTTCCACAGCAGGCTCAGATTTTTCTGCTTCACCTTGGAAATTTTGATCAATGGGCATTGATTGATATCTCGTATTTACAATGTCAAAAATTATGGAAGTATAAAAACAAACTGCAAAGTGACTTATTTACGTTAACTGTACATGTATACACATGTACTTAACTGTGGCTCTCTCAAGTGTTTTGGTTATGATCTGCATCTCATAAACAAAACACTTGAGAAAGCCACAGTTAAAGGCATCTTTTATGGGTTCAAGAATTATGGACAACATCAAATTGGGAGTCTTGGAAGCTTTATTACAGATTACGTGTTTTGACCATCATCAGAATTGTCAGGACTAGGGTAACTAGCTGGTATTTAACCCATGGTCTTTCTCCAATTTGGTATGATTTCTGTGATGCAATTAAGAATCTCTACATAATTACTGTAGCTAGTGTTGATATTTAATTATATTTAACGATGTGGCCTGCTTCTTAAAGATCACTGCCTAGCTTTTACTGACCCACTGGAACTAGGTCTTTTTATCACTGTCACTCACATGGTTGAATCAATTAACAATGAACCAGATAGTAAACTGAAAAATTTACTACAAAAGGATCATTACATCTATTTTGAACACACTTATTCAAAGAAAAGGGAGGCAAATGCAGTCCCTACCGGCAAGGACATCCCACTTCAGGTTAAAGTTATAAGGCAACCTTTTTCCAGAGAGTGTTTGATCATCACGCTCAATACACTGTTGTCTATTATAAGGTTGAGGCATTTATGTGGAGTGCAAGCAATGTGCTTAACCATAATTTCATTTTTTTGGGGCAAAAACATCTAAATCGGATTTGGTTAAAGTTTTTGCGCAAACTTTAGTAAAGTTAAAGATTGTTAGTGCAGGGTTGAATCACAACCATCAATAGTCTGTTGTCTTTAAAAAGATTGAAGCACTTAAATTGATTGTACGCAATTTGCTGAACCATATTAAATGGACTTGGTTGAATAATTTGGGCCAGTTTTTTTGTGCAGTGTTGGATCACCACCGTCAGTAGGCTTTCGTCCATTATAAGGTTGAGGTATTTATATGGAGTGTAAGCAATGCGCTGAACCAGTCTTTTTCACTTCCAGTAGTAAACACTGCCATTCAACAGAAAAAGCAGTTTCAATCTATGCCAATGGTTTTTGAGATTAAATTGGTTCACTATTACCATTATTGATGAAATAGCTGTACATGTTATTACATATTGTAAAACCATCTAAACTAATATTACATTACTGATGAAATAACTCTGAATGTCTACATTGATTAAAATAATTCATAAAGTGCTTACACCATTGATTTAATTGCTGTACAACCAAATCAAATTCTTCATTACAATCCACACAAACATATGGTCAATGTGACCTATTTAGGATTTATTGCTAAGACGATATAAGGCCATCAAAATATTTTGTATACACTACAACGCAGACTATAACTTTCCTTTAGCCTAGATTTTGTAGATGTATGGTTCACCAACATTGTCTACTTTCAAACTAACAAAACCAGATTAGTGACCTACAAATGTACACCTTCTAATTGTTACATATACATTGTAAAAGAGATGAAGATCCCACGGCTGCTCTTGGTATGTTCAGTGGAATTCAGCATACCCCAGTCGATAGATTTCTACGGTTGGATTTTTTGTTGAAATATATTTACAGTACAAGGCTCCGGAAACTACAAATCCACTCGCATAACTTGTTGGAGTTGTAACCATACATAACACTTGTATTGAGTTCATGGCTAGCTTTAAGAGCACAGTCACTCAAGCGATGGCCAATATTTCCAGATGCAAATTCGATGAGAGTGGTCACGTCGAAATACACTCGAATGCCTTTCGGTTCATCAGAAGAGGTCGTTTGAATTATGTTTACATATTTGACCCCTGTGACCTTGAAAGTGGGTCATTTTCGATAGCAAACGTGGCTTGGTTCCAACCCAGGAAGCAACCAGCCAAACATCAATACTCCAGGCCTTTTAGTTCTTCAGAAGAAGTGGTTTGAAATTTTTGGCATACAGAGGATTTGACCTCTGTGACTTTGAAAGTAGGTCGAGGTCTTATAAGTTCGCAGAGTATATTGGGCTCTCACCCAGGAAGCTATTAACAAAAATACCATGACTCTAGGTCTTCCATTTCTTTAGAAGGTTGTATACGACCGTCAAACATTTCTACAGGACGTACCATTGTATGAGAACATCCGTCCGTCCACACTTCGGTTTACGAAAGAGAACTTGCTTAAATATCCTTCGATTTTGATGAAACTTGGTATACATGTACGTCAATATTTACAATTTGTCCAGTAACGAAATCTGTCATTTATTAATAAGCAATATAAATAGCTTTGGTTTTCAATTGTGTAAGATAAATCTAAAAGGATCAATTTCAATATCTATTTTCATGGTTTGAAATATGTACAAAGTGATGCAATCAAAAATAAGGTTTTTTTAGTTCATAAAGGATATATGAACTATTTATTCCTCGAGCACCATATTCCATGAAGAGTTCTCAACCTAACTCAATAATACAGTGCAAATAGTGTGTCTTCTCCTTACATTTCTAAATGTTCATACATCCAGCTACAATAATGCACCGGAGGATTTAATGCGTGTCAGATTGGTATGCGGTACTCTTTTGATATACTTGACCCTTGTCATCTTAAAATAGCTCAACGTCACTTTTTGTACACTTTGTCGGGCTCTGACCCAGGTAGCTACCAACCAAATATCATAACTAGGATTTTTTCATTGTTCAGAGGAAATCGTTAACATGAAAGGGTTGGCATACGACAGACGCCACTCGAGACATACGCTCACTTGCTCTTAAAACTAAAAGTCTCAAACTTAACGGTTTTCTTTAAAATTGTCTGCAATGAATAAGAAAAGAAACATAACGATTTAATGCAATTGGGAAACGCTTCCACATTTTGACCCCGGATACATGTAGCTGAATGACTCATTGGCTAGCTCTTTATAAGTTATACATACTTATATCAATATAAAATATAAATGTTGAATGTTTTTGAAGTAGGAGTAAACGATGGACAAAACTGACATATTATCTATAGAGGTAGTATAGACAATATGTACTGGTGACGGAGTCATTTAGATATCATGGTTCGACAGAGAGCAAGATGTAGTTTATCCCGGTTCAGCGACAGTCAATTGGCTTGGTAAATAAAATAGTTTGTTTACACTTAAATCAATTGTAAGGGAACGACTAATTTAAATGTCAGCCGTGATCAACATCCTCAGAAAGACTTGTATATTTTGTAAACTGATGATGATTATATCAAATGTAGTTTTACCATATGAAGATCAGGTACAAACGTTTCTAGCCATTACTCATTTCAGTATCAAATCCTAGTGACAATTTGAGTGATCTGTCGTTAATATTTAATAGCCGATTCGCCCGACGTGTTTTAAAGTAGATGGCCTGTCTTACCGAAAACATACCAGCGCGAATACGTGCATGGAGTTTTATCGAAAATGCAAACTTTTTTATAGCTGGTCCGTTTCTATTTCTGATTTATATAAATGATATTACTGAATGTATAACAAATGAGAAACTACTATTTGCCGATGATACATCTCTTTTTAAGGTTATACAGACTACTCCACTCGATGCAGCCAATAGTCTATCCAGTGATCTTGAAAATGTTAATATATGGTCTAAGAAATGGGACATAAATTTTAATCCTACTAAAACGGAATCTTTAACTTTTAGTCGGAAAAGAAATATAATATCTCCTGATATCATCTTTCAAAATGAAACTATAGCAAATGTGTCAACTCATAAACATCTTGGTGTATTTTTTTCTGAAGATGGTAAGTGGCATCACCATATCAACTTTATTTATAATAAAGCGTATAAACGTATAAATTTATTGAAATCTGTAAAATATAAAATGAGTCGTAAAACACTAATCACTATATATATCGCTTATATTAGACCTATACTTGAATATGGTGATATCATTTTTGATAATTGTACTCAGCAGGAGGCAACTTTACTTGAATCTATCCAAATAGAGGCTGCTCGATTAATTACAGGACTGCGTAAAGGAACCTCACACTATAAAATTTATTGTGAACTTGGTTGGGACACCCTTGCTGCAAGACGGAAAAAACACAGACTTATTCTTCTATACAAAATTCTTACAGGAACTGCACCCACTTATTTAACTGAATTAATTGAACCCTTTTTCAACAATATGAACCCATACCTATTAAGAAATGAAAGAATCTTTACAATTCCTATGTGCAGAACAAATACTTATGCCAAAAGCTTTATTCCGTCTTCACTTAAAGATTACAATGAACTTGCAGCAAGGTTTGACCTGACTAACATCACATCACTATACCAATTTAAAAAACTTTTAAGAAGAGCTGTAAGTGACATTATGTTATTAGACACAAGTAGAAACTTTACCTATGTCAACACAGGTGATAGAAAATACAACATCATACTCTGCCAACTTAGAAATTCTTCAAGTAACCTTAATTTTGATCTACACAGAGATCATCTTCTCGAATCACCAACTTGTACCTGTGGTAATGCCCATGAAACAGTACATCATTTTTTTCTCATTTGTAATAAGTATGATGAACCACGTAAAACCCTCAAGGATAAATTATTTGATGTTAATCACAATCACTACACTCTGGATGTACTTCTATCTGGCTGTGGTGATTGTGATGAACGAACCAATGTAAATATATTTGAATGTACTGCCGCGTTTGTCACAGCTACACATAGATTTCCACATGTATAATACATTATATATTTCTGATTGATATTATGTCTCTTAAATATGAAAACCATCAGTTATGACTGTGCTTCTACATCATAAAC